TCATGTTTTTAAATACAACATCAAACAGCTCTCTGAGACCTGACAATGGGGCAAGGAAGTCTACTCTATCAGGACTCTTAGAGTGAGGTACCAGACTCAGCTGCAAACAGGACTCCAGGTAAGTAATGATAGCATGAAAATGAGTCAACCAGGATACAAGGGCAACGGGCCACTTGGGGATTCCCTGCTCAGCATGGGGGTAAGACTTCTCAGTGCCACCTTATTGTTGCCATCTGAAAGTGCAAATTTTCCAGTTTTTAAATAGAAGCAAAGGAGAAATCTGGACTTTTATGAAAGGTCCCTTCAATTCAAAAGAGAAAGAAAGAAGGAAAGGTCCCTTCAATTCAAAAGAGAAAGGAAGAAGGAAAAGAAAGGAGAAAAAAGGGAGGGAGAAGGAAGAGTAAACACTGCAGGGCACAAACACACCACACACATGCACATTCATACCCCTCTGCAGAAGGGATTCACATTCAGTCTGGGGACACCTGTTTGCAACTTCATTTTTAGTAGTTATTAAATCTTATTGGAATGAACACTGTTTGATGATAAAGACATATATACTCTTCATTCTAAACCACCACCAAGCAATTACACTTTTTATTTTTTACTTTTTTAGGGACAGAGTCTCCATCAGCCAGGCTGGAGTGCAACAGCACAATCATGGCTCAATGTAGCCTCAACCTCCTAGAATTAATTAAGTGAACCTCCCGCCTCAGCCTTCTGAGTAGCTAGGACTACAGGTGCACACCACCACACCTGGTTAATTTTTTTATTTCTTGTAGAGATGGGGATGTTAGGAAGTGTTAGTCACTATGATGATCAGGCTAGTCTTGAACCCCTGACCTCAAGTGATCCTTCTGTCTCGGCCTCCCAAAGTGATGGCATTACAGGTGTGAGCAACTGCACCTAGCAGGTTTTTTCCATGTCCTATTTGACCCATTGGAAACTATAGTTTTCTGCCATTTGGTGGGGGAGAGTAATGGAGAATAAGGGAGTTGTTTCAGAGCTTGGGTGGTTCTTTTCCAAGCTCTTGGAGATGCTATGACAATCCCATTAGCAGACAGGTTTGAGAGTAGTGTTCATCTCTTATCTACTAATAAATCAAGAGGTTTCAAGTTACAGGTGTTAGCCAAGCAGTTTGGGCTTTTCTTCTTGACTCTTGAATTGATAGATCATTTAGCCTATATTAACAAAGCAAATGAAAGAAAGCACCCTTCCAAAGTTAAAATAACACAATCAGCTGTGTGGAAAATGGCAGCAGATGCAGTGACTTCTGAGAATTTTTTATGAAGTCTTCATCTAAATCTTTTGACTTTCAGTTACTGAACCTTGAGCTTTTATATTTTACAGTCCTCTTTGACAAAGTAGATTTCTTGGCACCAGCCTAATAACACAGGAGACAGTCTGTACTTCTGGCTTCGTGGGTCCCCCCAGCTTTTCATAGCAGGTGTCCAGTGTTTGGGGTTTTAATTGTCTAAACCTGGATTTCAGATACCTAAAGTTTAATAAATAAGAAAACACCATTTTCTTACTTCCAAAAACAATACTCTTTTTAATTGTGTTTTCATTAATATTACATGCCATGGATTACAATTTCCTGTTAGTTTGAAATTTGACAGAGCTTTAATCATGGCCCTTTTAAAGGGCAACAGGATCAATTAACAGCTTTTTATGTACAAGACCCTGTACCATGTCATGAGGAGCAAACAGAAAAGAATCAATAGATGTCTCCCTTTTCCGGGGGAGACTTGAAGTGTTTTTGGAGAAATGAGGCATTTATACAATTAGCAGTGGTATAAAACAGTGCATGAAAAGTATAATACAAAGGCCATGACAGCCAACCTGCAGGACTTTTAAAAAACAGAGAGACTTGAAGGTTTCAGAAGGTTTCAGAAAGGAAATAGGATTTAAGTGGGCCTTGAAGAATGTGTGAGCTTTGTGAGGATGGTAGACTGTGGAAGGAAAGGTATATGGGGGGGTGCAAAAACCCTGAATTTATTTATTAAAAATTGTGTATTTATTCTTTTTTTTAATCAATATTTTTATTATGATATTGGGGGTACAGTTAAGGGTTAGGTATACAAATATGCTTCGTTCAGGCACCTTTGTTGATAAGAGGTGTCTCCCCATCCCCAGACAGATATGGGGGGGAGGAGAGGAAGGAAGATGGGATTAACAGTAGTAAATATCTGTGTATTTATTCTTACATGTTTAAACTTCAGTCACCTTCAAAGTACTCTCCACTGGATGCAGTACACCTATCAAGACACTTTTTTCACTGCTCGAAAGAGTTTTTTAACTCCTCAATTTGGATGCCTGTTAGTGCTTCTACCGTTTTTTGTTTCACTTCTTTCACATCAGCAAAATATTTCCCTTTGAGGACTTTTTTCATCTGGGAAAACAAACAAACAAAAAAATATTTCAGGGAAAGACCATATGAATAGGGAGGATGGGGTACAGGGGTCATAGTGTTTTGGTCAAAAACTACTGAACACTCAGCAGGGTGTAGACAGGTGCACTCGTAAATCACCCATCAGGAAATGGGCGAATGCACTGAAAGACTCTCAAAAAAAAAATTCACTGAAGCCAAATGCAGCCTCTCACAATGCTAGCTGGTACACTGATACTGATGAATTCCTAGAATACTTACTTAGTGAGGGAAGTCTGTACTACAAGGGGTCTGCCACCCAAAGATAATTCAGGTTTTTTCAGGTCCCTCTTTATAATAAACACAGGTGCAAAAGAAGGAGGGGAAAGATTGTCTTGGGCAGAGCAAGAGATTTTGCAACAGGAAATTCCAGGAAAGAAGAAATGGAATATAAGCCTAGAGACATGATTTAAAGGAGCAGAAGGCAGTTAAGATCAGGGATGGGAAGACATCCAAACCAATTGTATGAATAATGAAGTTAGGAGGAAGGGTTTAAGGGAAAAAAATAAGTTCCATTTATTGTTAGATTTTGTGTGATAGTAGGTCAGCAAAATTACATTGAACCAAAAGATGAAAGTATGTATTTTAAAAATCCAGATTTGATTTTGCCTTATTTTAACAGTTTGTAGCCTGAATTAATTAAGATTGTGCTATTTCATGTGCAAAGAAGTAGGTTCCTTGAATTTTGGAGTTGAAAGAGTGCTTAGAAATCATATAATTTATTTTGCCAATGAGTTGATTGGCATTTAGAAAGATTAAGTGACTAGCCTAAGGCAACATATCCTGTTAATGATAAATATTAAAACTCTGTCATCCACTGATTTCTGATCATTGCTTGTCTAATCACCCTTTCCTCAAAAATGCTTCTACATAAACACACATATAACTTTCTATATGTATATACCGTAAATCATATCAGTTTTTTTTAATTTAGCATTTCTCATTTTGGGGTATCTCCATCTCCCCTCTGTTTCCAACTCATCACTCTCCCTCCATTTAACAGTCAATAAGTCTAATTCTACATATTTTTAGACTGCATATAATCATACACAAATATATACATCTCTGTGTGGGGATACATATGGCCATTGTTTTGCACAAATGGGAATGTATATGCTCTTTTCTGTACCTTGCTTTTCTCATGCAGTCATGCCTTGGGGAAATCTCTTCCACGTGGTATGTTATTAGTCAGCAGTTATTTCCTTTAATGGTTGTCTAATACTCTAAGGTAGAGATATGTCATGATTTATCTTACCATTCCCCTATTCATGGGGACCAGTGTGCTTTCAGTTTTTGCTGCTACAGACTGTACTTCAGTAAACATACCTATACCTATATTCATACATGCTGGTGTTTTTATTTTCGATAGAGTTGATATCACCGGGCCAATGGCATGTGTATTTTTAGTTTTAAAAACTAAACTGCTTCCCTAAGAAAGCTGTCATAATACACATTTATTTGCATACAATTAATAAAAATACTTCCTATTCCTAGATCTCCTGTGGTTGTATTTTATTTTTATTATTTTTATTTTTGTGGCTGTATTTTAAAGTTTATTTCATTTCTTTAAGTTTTTGCAAGTGCAATTGGTATGAGGTAATGCTCATTATTACTTTATTGCATTTATTTGGCTACAAATGAATTTGATTATCTTTTCATAAGCTTGTTGATTATTTGGAATTCCTACCCTGTAAACCATGTTTTCACATTTTTTATCCAGTTTGCCAATGGATTATTTGGTCTCCTGGTAAATTTTTCAGAGCTTCTGCTATGTTACAGATATTTTTGCATGTCTTGTAGGATTTCAACTTTTTTTTCAAATCAATTGTATTTTTATGGCGGTTTTTGTTATGCAAAAGTTTTGAGTTTCATTCAGACACTTATGTTTATATTTCCTCTTACCTCATGGCTACATTGTCAAAAGAAACCTACCTCCCCTGTCCCTAGATTACATTTATGCTTCCCAGTTTTTCTTACAGGATTTTTATTTATTTAATTATTTAATTTACACTTTGACCCTTAATCCACCTAAGATTTCTTTTTGGAATTGGTCTAAGATAAAAATCTAGTTTTTTTTTTTTTCCAGATGAATAAACAATTTGCCGGACACTTGTATTAATTAACCAGTCCTTTTGCCACCAAATTGAAATGCCTCTTTGGTCATATATTAAGTCTCTATTTTACTTGGGTCTATTTCCAGATATCCTGGGTCACATATCTCTATAATCCTATTTCAACACATATTGATTTAATTACAGTAGCTTTACTGGATTTTCTGGTTATCTGGTAAATCAGATTACACTAATAACTTTCAGGGCACTTATCAAACTTGAGTAGCTGTATTAAAAACCTATTTGCTAGACAGCAATAGGTAAGCAAAACTAAAATATCAAAATAATATTTGTGTCCTTAGAATTTTCTTTTTCAAAATCTTTCTTTCCAACATCTATTTTTGCATCAACACAGAAAAATTTAATGTGCTCATGAAATCTTATAAAAATGACAGTTTGGCATATTTTTTCAATTCTTAAATGATACACCATACTAATATTACTATTTCCTTGATTTGCAGACTGGTTCTTCAGAGAAATCATCCCTGACCGTGTCTTCACTCTGAGCTCTGACTCCTTCCCCGTGGGAACACTACTCAAGGGAGAGTTCTGGAGAGTTCCTGAAGAGAAATTCCATGGGGACTGTAACTGACCCTCTGATATCAGCTAAAACTTCCCTGATTGCAGCTTCTGGAAAGGAAGAGAACCTAGGAGAACTGCAGCCTGCCTCACCTCAGCACCAGCCAGCTCTCCTGTGTAAGAATGCCAATGGCTTTTCAGGCGCCCCTGAAGAACCAGACCTCAACCCCAGGGCAACTGCTGAGACCCTGATGCAGGCTTGTGAGCATGAGACCACCCAGCCAGACATGTCTTCTTCTCATGTCTTCAACAAAGTAGAGAAAGCATCTCCCACCCTTAATTCTTCTGGCAATCCCCAGCCGCCAGGGAGCAGCCAGCCCGAAGCACCAGCCCCAAGTTCTGCAGCAGGAAAGGATCTTACACGCACACCATTAACAATGCCAGTCAGTCAACACAGCCACCAGGCCATGCCAGGTGAGCAGCCCAATGCCAGCACCTCATCGGTACCTGAAGATCCCCTGATGAAACTGCAGAGAACCTCGAATGGAGAGCAGCCCGAGAAGCCAAGTTGTCCTTCCACAGATACTCATGGGAACAGCAAAGATCAAATGTCCCGTGAGTCTCCTGCTCAAGAAACAGTCCAGGGGATAGTGCAGCACCGAGATACAGCAGCCAGAGTGTTCAGTCACTCATCCTCTCCTGTAAGCCGACCTGAAGGGGAAAGGCAGCGAGCTGTCTGTGACTCTGAGACGAGGTCCTGTGAACCTCCAGTTAGAGAATGTTGCTGTTTAAAGAACAAGCAGACCTCTGTCACTGCCTCAGGCCCCCAGGGCATAACTCCTGTGACACCTCAACCATCCCACCTCAGGAGCGAAGGTTCAGCATGTCCTCCAGATCCAGAGAAGGTGCCGCCGCCAGCTCAGCATCAGATGGCAAGGTTCAAAGAAGCCAGCACGATGACCAGCCAGGTTGAAAACAAGACCCAGGGAGTTCCTGGCAGGGCTCAGCAGGATGCTGAAGTGCAGGCGGTGGCCAGTGTAGAGAGCAGATCCGTCTCCACCAGCCCCAGCATCCTCGCTGCCTTCCTGAAGGAGAGCCCCGCTCCCGAGTGTTTTGAGCAGGAGCAACTGCGTGTCATTTGTCACAGCAGTGGGAGCCACACGCTGGAGCTCTCTGATGGCACGTTCAGCCCCCAGGAGTCAGGCCAGCGCCCTGGTATCATGCCACAGGTGCACATTCAGACAACTGCAGCTGTCTCCATGGCGTTCCAAGGGGAAAGGAAATCAGTGAGCCTGCCAGGTGAGGTCCTTAAAACCTCATCAATCAATGCGGCCTCCAGTAATGCCCATGATGGATGTAAAGAAGATGGGAGGTCAGCAGGAATGGCTCCAAAAATGGAAGAACCAAACACTGGGCAGCTTGCAGGTACTAATTCCAGCTCCCTCAAAGCCAGTCCCATTGACCAGATCTCGGTCCGGCCAGGCAGTCAAGCTGAAAGGAGTCATGCATTGGGGAAATTCGAAACCAAGTCGTCGGAGTTTGCAGTGAAAACCGCAAATGGCCAGAAAACAGACCCAGATTGCAAACGATCCGACTGTTGCGCCCCTGCCAGCAAAAGTGGCCATTCTGGGAACCTGGATCCCACCAATAAAGGAGGTGCGAGGGAGAGGAAACCCACGTCTCCTCAGATAGTGAAAGAACAAGAGTCTACTGGCACCAGGGCCCTCGATGCCAAAACTCTGCTGCTCAATCCTAAATCTCAAGATAGTGGAGGCACAGGATCAGGGACCAGTCCGACCCCCTCCCCAGTTAGAAAGAACCAGGAGAGCACCTCGGAGGAAAATAAACAGACCAAGACAACCACAAGCCTGAGCCTGCCATCAGATCCCATGGGTGACTCAAGCCCAGGCTCTGGCAAGAAGACCCCTTCTCGCTCCGTCAAAGCCAGCCCGCGCAGGGGCAGCCGGGTCAGCGAGTTCCTCAAGGAGCAGAAGTTGAACATGACAGCGGCCGTGGCCCAGGTGGGACTCACTCCGGGAGAGAAGAAAAAGCAGCTTGGCCCGGACGCCAAGCTCCACTTGAAACAGTCCAAGCGTGTCAGGGACGTCGTGTGGGACGAGCAGGGAATGACCTGGGAAGTGTACGGTGCCTCCTTGGACCCGGAGTCTCTGGGAATCGCGATCCAGAACCACTTACAAAGGCAAATCAGGGAACATGAGAAATTAATCAAAACCCAAAGCAGCCAGGGCCGGAGATCCATTTCCTCAGATACTTCTTCAAATAAGAAGCTCAAAGGAAGGCAGCACAGTGTTTTCCAGGCCGTGTTGCAGAACTTCCGTCGCCCCAACTGCTGTGTTCGCCCAGCCCCTTCCTCTGTGTTAGATTGACGCGGAACGTGTTCAGGAGTCCATGTATACATTCGCAGTATTCATATGTGTCCATCTATGTCAAAGCTTCCTTTTTTTTTTTCTTTTTCTTTCTTTCTTTTTGTTTTTGTTTTTGTTTTTTTCCTGCAAGACCGGGAAGAAAAAAAGCAAGTATTAACTGTGGAAAATTGCTGATAAAATTTGTTAGGTCCTTTGACTGGAGTTCTATAAATAAAAATGCCTCTTACATTTGAAAGAAGGAACAAGAGACGAGAAACCAGCTTCACTGAAGGTTTGCAATCTTAAGTGGAAATAATATTCCCTTGGGGTTTTTTTTTTTATTAGTATGATGTTGCTCACAGAAATAGCATTATTGTCATACATGTGTTATTTTGTATTACTGCCTCAGTTTATCACACAATGGCATGTCCATTAAAATGTGTACTTTATATTGACAGTAGCAAAAACACTATTTGCAAAAACACTGTTATAATTTCTAGTACTACTGCAGTGGGAGTTGTTACCACACAAAATTTAAGTAGTTGATTAGAACCATAATGTAAAAACTTGAAACAAATTTGACTAATTCCTAGCTAGATAACCTTAAAATAAAAGCACTTCAATGTGTACAATACCATATATGAATTAGTATTTGTAAACATCTACAGATAACCCTTTTTATAAACCTTGTTATAGTTTTCCTTATAGAAAGTTATATTAGGAAAATTAGCTAAGCTTTTGAGTATGAATACTACCTATATCTAATATGGATTTATGTATACATATTTTCCTGCACTGAAGACAAGGTGCATCTCTGTGATTCTGACCAGACATAATTCATATTTTTCTACCCTAGAGGAAGGATTATGGGACTGAAGTCTTGAAAAGAACATAAAATTAGAGACAATACTAAATTTTATGTTGTACATAAACCTAAAAGGTGTTTTCCAGTAACTTCTGAGAATGCTAAGATTCCTGTAAGGAATTATAAATTGCAAGTTACCAAACACTGTTTTCTCTGTATTGATAGAAGAAATGCCTCAAGAGTTAACAAAGACAGTATGTTTAATCTAGACTCCCGTAAACAGATACAATTTATGTTTTTCTTTTGTTTTGTTCAGTAGCTTCTAATATCTAATGTCTGTCAACACCAAATAGAACATGAGCTTCCTTACAGCTTTTGTATGTAACTAATATAAATACTTAAGTTTATAATTTGGAGTAAAAAAGGCAACTTTTGTAAACTTACTGATTTTAAGAGAAATAGCAACCTTTCTGCTCCATCAAATCCTTTAAAAGAAGAGGGCTTCACGAAAACATGGCTTGAGCATTGGGTGATTGTGTTCCTTGAGAACACAGGCACGTGTCTGAGTTCAGCCCTCATGTGTCCCCAGAAAGGAGTGTGTCCCTGGACACATGAGTATCCTCAAGGAACTGGCCTGGGATGAGCTTCAGTGACTTGAGAGTTGGGATAGTGTGGAAAAGGGGAATGAGTGAGGGTCCCCAACAGACTTCCTGTCCTGGATTCATTGTCAAGACAGGCCCAGTCTCCATTTTGTGTTTAGAAAACCATACTATTCGATATTCAAGGGTCATAGGTTGTCTTCTCCCAACCCATTTCCCCTCATGAGTCAAAAGAGAGTACTGATCACAGATTCTCTATTGCAGAGACTCATGTATCCATGTATGCAGTTAATTCGCAATGTTTTGTTTTGTTTTCATTTTAATCATATTTTGCAGATTCTGAATAAATGGGGGAAAAAATCCTACCCAAATTTTAACAACATAAGTTACACTTGACACAACCTTAAGTCAGTAAGAGGACTTTGATTTATTTTGAAGCAATTTGACAGTAGGTAAAGCCTGCATATCTAGACCAGCATTCTCAGAGCCTGAGAATGGTCATTGCAGTTGGTATACTTGGAACTGATGGATAATTTTTGTTTTTTGGGTTTTTTTTTTAATTGTAGTCTCACTCTGTTGCCCAGGCTAGAGTGCAATGACACAATCATAGCTCACAGAAGTCCACCTCAGCCTCTCAAGTAGCTGGGACTACAGGCACATGCCACCATGCCTTAATACAATTTTTTTTTTTTTTTAAGACGGTCTCACCATGTTACTCAGACTGGTCTCAAACTCCTGGGCTCAAACAGTCCTCCCGCCTTGGCTTCCCCAAGTGCTGACATCTGACCACAAATGTTTTAATTTTTTAATAAGGTACATTTTTTAAGTTTATTACCAGTTGGTCTCTATCGCTATCTAGAGTTGAAATTCCCACCGAATTTCCAATCAAATTACTGTTAATGATTTGAGACTTAGTCTAAAATTCTCTCTTTTGGCCTTAGATACCCATTGTAGTCGTACCCATGTCACTTTTGTTTCAGATGTCTTTGCCAGCACATAATCTCTCAGCTAGCTCCAGCTTACTGGCTGTCTCCCTTACACATTGGCGTACATGCTGTGTATATACAGAGTACACCCAGAGTACACAGTAGCAGCTGTCAACAGTGCTCACTCCAGATGGGTGGGCCCCAGGTAATCCTCTACTGTGAAGTGGTAGGAACAGGCTGTTCTTGCATTAAAATAGGAGAGAAGAAAGAATTCAGCATCCTACAATAATATTTATTTTCATGAATGTAGAGTAACCACATAACTTATTAATAGCTAAATGAAACAGAGGCCTAAGAGAGTTGTAGCCATTTGTCCCACACTAAATAAATTTAAATTGCTAAGTATGGTATTATAATCATGCCTCTCAAATTAAAACTTTAAGAAAATACATTTGATGTAGTAAGTTTGGCTGGTTTTCTTTGGTACTAGAACTAAATTCTTTAATTTTACAACACTTTAGAATTTGGCACAAAATATTACAAAACCTTGCTTGTTTTGTTCCTTATTGAATCTTATGGAACTAACAGATTTTTGAAACAATTATAATGTATCATCAAATGAATAAGATAGGAACCTATTCAAGACAACAGTGTTTTTACACTATGATACGTACCCTAAATTGCTCTCACAATAAAACCTTATTTGAAAATTTGTCCTCACTTCCATCCGTGACACAGCATTCGGCATTTAGTACCACATTTTTTGTGACATCTTGGGTTCATTCAACAAAATGAAGTTCAGGTTGCAAAATAGTTTCCCAGACAGACTCCTTGATCTTCTTCCATTATTTCTTACTCTACTTGCATGACACACATTGGGTTGAGAGTTGGTTGTTTTTGCCTTTCCTTTTTTTTTTTAGATACAATTTGATTCTTTTTAATGCATTTTTATTTTTTTAAATAATATGGAGGAAATATTTTATTAAGTCAAGAAATATAAAGTATTTCTTAAACCAGTAGTAAACAGGTGAGTTAGAACTCTGTCTAGAAGATAATTCCACATTTAAAACATCAAAATACTTTACCGCTTACCAAGTGAACATTAAACTTTTTAATTTAAATATTGATTGTTCTATTTGTATGACCATGATGAAAAATATCATAGCTTCAGCTGTCATGTGTTTATCTTAAATACTTTTCTGATTAGGTCTTTCTGGATTATTGGCTTTTGATGCCACAGACCAAATACTTTACACACAGTGAAATACTGATTAACCTTTGTGCTTTGGGTCAGTGGCATAAGTTGAACATCTTGTTAATCAAGGCTAACCAGAAGCCTTTTTGTTTGCATCTGAAGTGAAATCTTTATAAAATGTGTGAATATGTTTTCCTATCTTGACAAGTTCACCTGTATTGAATGTAATTTGATCTTTGATAATATTTTAATCTTGAGAATTGTCTGATATTATTTTGGATACCAGTGTTTTTCATGTTACAGGCTAAACATCAAAACTGAAATGAATTGGACTGAATCTGCATGTGTAATATATGCCCTAGGGGTTGGATTTTGGAGCCAAATCCTTCAAAGGAGCTTGCTGTCTTCAAGTAGAAAGCAAAAGAGGAAAATGGCATTTTCAGCAAAATGGTTGTATCCCTGTGTGTTGAGGTTTTACTGTTCCCAGTTTATACTAATGCTATTCCTCTCATTTGTGGGAATCCCTCTCATTTTGGGAATACCTGTATATACCATACCAAGTGTCAAGTACAATGTGACTTTAAAACTTATTTACAGAGGAGATATACAAGTGTGTTGTAAAGTAAATTGTTTGGCCTTTGCTATAATCTCTTTGTTACTGTTTTGCTGCCAAAATGTGAGAAACTATTGTCCTCTCTTCCTCTTATATATTGTGCCAAGTGTTAAAAATGTGTCTGCTTCTAGTACCACATAATGCACCACATCCCCTGTCTACCTTTTAACAATCCATATAAAGAAAAATTATAAATTAGGATCAGGTTTGCACATATGTATATGTGTTTTTATTGAAAACTGGGCACTTGTAGCCTTGCGTAAACCTCTATCTGCCTGATTTACTGTCTGTAATGCTGCCATGGAAATGATGCTGTTTACTCTCTCCTGCTTTGTCCTACATGGTGTTTGAGAAATGAAGCCTGTGAATTTCCCTTTGTGGTAGTACAGTGAACTCAGCAGTATCTTGGATAAGTGAACTAACTACCCTGTCCCCGCCCCTGTTTTGTCTACATGGTGAATCAGAAGTCAAACATCTGCTTCAATGTCTGTTATTTTGCATTTGTATCTAAGCATTTTGTTTTCTGTCAGCAATGCTCTTTGATGTCATGTGTGGCCCTTTTGGTTGATTCTCTTCCAGTGCAGGTCAGCTGCTGCCACCTGGCAAATGACAGGCATTATGCTGAATCTCCTGTCCATCCTTGTACCTATATCCTTCTTAATGAAATTCCACAACTGGCTGAGTAATTAAAAATGTCATCTGTAAAGACACATGGGCTTAAAGATGTCTACAGAATTTTAGACATTTTGGTAAAAGAAGAAAAAATAGTCTTGTACATACTGAAACAGATTTCCATGAACGTTATCCTACTCTTGGGGGGAAAAAATTCTCCTTGGCTGCACAAATAAAATAAGCTTCATTTGCAATGACCAAGATAGATGGA